TCACTAGTCAATTTTCTATCGGGATCGCATTGGTGAACCCTAACTTCTGGATTGATTTTTCTAACGGATCTTCAATTTAACATCGCAGGATTCCAACAATCTCAAAGATGCTCTTAAGTTTTCTGCTCAGATGCTTAGCGAGCTTCGTACTTCCAAACTTTCTCCTCATAAATACTATGAACTCTGTGAGTCCCATACATTTTTCCGATTGGGGAGACAAACTCTTTTGTATTGTTCGTATTTGTTTTCTTACTGTGATTTGATTTTGTTCAGATATGCGAGTTTCTGATGAACTGAGGTCACTGGAGTTTTTCTTTAAGGAAGAGACGGGTCGTGGTTGCTCCATTGCAGAGCTGTATGAGTTAGTGCAGCATGCCGGTAACATTTTGCCAAGATTGTAAGTTTGTTTTGTTCAGAGTATACATTGTCCTTTGCATTCTCTGATTTGACATTTATAGATACACACACCAATCAATCAAATTGCAGGTACCTTCTATGTACAATAGGATCTGTATATATCAAATCGAATGAAATTACTGCTACGGATATACTTAAGGATCTTGTTGAAATGTGCCGAGCTGTTCAACATCCTTTACGTGGTCTGTTCTTGAGAAGTTACCTTGCTCAAGTTACTAGGGATAAGTTACCAAGCATTGGTTCAGAGTTGGAAGGGTAAGGCCTCGCAACCTGTTGTTAGATGATTTCTTGCTAAGTTGGGAAACATATGTGAAGATGCAAATGCTTTGCAAATGTATCCAGAGAGGCTGATGCACATATGGATGCTTTAGAGTTTGTGCTCCAAAATTTTACTGAGATGAACAAACTATGGGTCCGAATGCAACATCAGGTTGGTTGGAAATACTAATGATATATTTCTGCTCTCGTGTTCAACGTGTATGTACTGGATATAGTTGTACACGGTGAAAGTCCAATGTCTGATCGTGGTTTCTGGTATTCAGGGACCTAATCGGGAGAAGGAGAAACGGGAGAAAGAAAGGAATGAACTACGTGATCTTGTAATAGCAGAGACTCGTAGCTGATTCTTCTCATGTAGAAATTTGCGAGCAATGACTTACAATTTGCTGAAATTCTTCTCGTTACTGCTGATTAGGTTGGGAAGAACCTTCATGTACTGAGTCAGTTGGAAGGTGTTGACCTTGGAATCTACAGAGATACTGTTCTTCCTAGAATACTGGAGCAGGTCTGACTTTTCTCTTCCTTTAGATAGTTTCAGCATCCAAGCTTCCGTCTACTTGTTGGTGGAAATGAATTATGTATCATTGTTGTAAAAGGTTGTCAACTGCAAGGATGAACTTGCACAGTGCTATCTAATGGATTGCATTATTCAAGTCTTTCCTGATGATTTTCACCTTCAAACTCTCGATGTATTATTAGGTGCCTGTCCACAACTTCAGGTACTTCTTATTACCTATCCTTTCTTCTTTAATATGCAGTTTTTGACAAAAGATAAGACTGCTAAATAAACCTCTCATCCCATCGGAACATGTTAACCCTATTTTCCTTTTCTTCATTGTATTTTTTCAGCCGTCTGTTGATATCAAGATGGTCCTTTCGGGTCTAATGGAAAGGCTTTCGAATTATGCTGCATCCAGTGTGGAAGCATTGCCTAATTTCCTGCAAGTAGATGCCTTTTCAAAGTTAAATTATGCCATTGGGAAGGTAAATCTTGCATCTAATCATGAAGGCAGTGGAACTAACTGCAATTAACTTGAATCTAAGTTTGTTTATGAGGGTGGCTAGTATTAGAGAATATCTAAAAAATCTAGCTTAATCTCCATGGTATTTTGAGGAAATTTTCAGCTCTTAAATATTGTCTAATTTTTTTGCTAGTTCTCTTTGATTGTATCATGTTGATTATCTCTTCACGGTTGTATTTCATTAAAGAGTTGCTTGAGTCTACTTCTTATATTTTGATTCAGGTTGTAGAAGCACAGGTGGACTTGCCGGCCTCAGGATCTGTATCATTGTATTTGTTTCTTCTGAAATTCACTCTCCATGTTCATTCTGACCGTCTACATTATGTGGACCAAGTTTTGGTATAATGCCTTCTGAGCATGTATAAACGTGTTAAGTTTATTCAGAATTACGATTTGTGTCTACTTAGTCAGTTCTGCAAGTTGCTAATACATGTTGTTGTCTCTCTTTTCAATTTTCCTTAAGGGATCTTGTGTTAGCCAACTCTCTGCCACAGGAAAGCTTTGTGATGACAAGGCATCAAAACAGATCGTTGCATTCCTTAGCGCTCCGTTGGAGAAGTATAATGATGTTGTAACTATTCTGAAGCTTACCAACTATCCTCGAGTAATGGAATACCTTGACCATGAGACAAACAAAGCAATGGCAATCATTATAATTCAGAGCATTTTGAAAAACAAAACTCATATTGCTACTGCTGATGAGGTGTGTTTTTCTCTTGGTTTAGTTTCTTATTTTAGCATTCTCTATTGATGTGGCGTATCCTTCTATTGCATCTTGCAGGTTGATGCATTGTTTGAACTGATAAAGGGACTCATCAAGGATTTTGACGGTACAACTGATAGTGAGGTACCAGAAGATTTTTTCATCAATTCTTACTGGCTTCGTGTTCACAGTATTCTAGTCCATCGAAAGAGTACTTTTTCTTTAGATAACTTACCTGTTATTGTACCCGGCATGGTTTCAAACGGGAAACTATGTCAAATTTTAGGTCGATGAGGAAGATTTCCAAGAAGAGCAGAACTCTGTTGCACGGCTGGTTCACATGCTCTACAATGATGATCCAGAAGAAATGGCTAAGGTGTGTCTACATTTATATATTGCTGCACGCTATCAGTGTGATCTGTGTGTGCCATTCCTAATTCATATACCCAACTACAGATAATTTCCAGAGTAAGGAAGCACATCCTGACTGGAGGTCCTAAGCGTCTACCTCTTACGATACCACCACTTGTCTTTTCTGCTCTCAAGGTTTGTATTTCTTACTGTGATCACTTGTTCACTCTGTTCTCCAGCTTGGGAAACAGTATAAGTTCTGTCTAAGATTTGGAAGGAGTTGTGTCCAGTTTTTTCGTGGATTCAATAGACATTGTATTTGGATTTAAAAGTGTGCATATAAAATTTGTTGTGTTGATATGCTTGTGCAGTTAATTCGGCGACTGCGAGGGGGAGATGGAAACCCATTTGGAGATGACACGTCAGCAACACCGAAGAGAATTCTGCAGCTCTTAAATGAGGCAAGTGTACATATATGTTGATTGTTAGAAAAGAGTGAGGAGGGTTTAGTGAACTCCATTGGCTCTGTCCCAGTGAAACCCAGTTGTTTTTCCTTTGCCAGAATTAAGATGATGAGAGTCGATTTTGAGTGTCAATTTTTTACAGACTGTGGAAGTTCTATCTGATGTTTCAGCATCTGAGTTGGCATTGCGACTCTACTTGCAATGTGCTCAGGTATCGTTTGGCCTATGATCACTCAGTATCAAAACCATTAAATATAGTGCATTAGCTGAAATTTTATTTTATTGAATCGCAGGCAGCAAATGACTGTGAATTAGAAGCAGTCGCTTCCGAGTTCTTCACAAAATCATACCTTCTATATGAAGAAGAAATTTCGGTAAGTGAATTCTTACAAGGCTACAAGCATTTTCTGTAAGAAAGACCTTGACGTGGCCTTAAAATTTTGGATGTTTTAGGATTCAAAGGCACAAGTAACAGCACTACGTTTAATAATAGGGACGCTCCAGAGGATGCGTGTATTTAATGTTGAGAACAGAGATACTCTCACTCACAAGGCGACAGGGGTACCTTTCCTGACATTCTAGTTGAGTAAGTGAGTGGTACATTGAATACTCTCCAGGCTAAATTATATTTTGTTGTTGTAGTACTCTGCAAGACTCCTCAAGAAGCCAGATCAGTGTAGAGCTGTTTACGAATGTGCGCATCTATTTTGGGCTGACGAGTGCGAAAATCTGAAAGATGGTGAGAGGTATGTTACATATGAAATACTTACTCTTAAAAACTAAATCTTGAAGTTAATTTTGTGATCCATACACAAATTAGAAGGGGGAAAATCTGAGACAAACTGATAGTTTGTCGTGTGTTGTGAGACTTGACTATTCGAGCTGATATGGATTTTATGAAATGAGAACAGGGTTGTGCTTTGCCTGAAGAGGGCACAAAGAATTGCAGATGCTGTTCAACAAATGGCCAACGCATCCCGTGGTACCAGTAGCACCGGGTCTGTGGCTCTGTATGTCGAACTTCTGAACAAGTAAGTGACTCTTTGTAGTTGCACCTATTTAGTACGTATCTCTGCAAAATGCTTCTAATTGAGTACTTTGCTACCGCTTTCTCTAACAATGGTGTTACGAGTG